TGCAGTGAGTAGTGTTTCATCAACAAGATATACGCATCCACACTAACGGGATTTGCATAGACTCCCATTTCACGTAGCTACTGTCTCTAAGTGTGCTGCGTGAATAACATGGGTTTACACATCCGCGATTCTAATCCGTGGACGTTAACATGAAACAGTCTTCCCTCTTCAATGAAACAAATTCTTGACATGCTCGTACGCCGCTCACCTTCGCAGATCTTGCAGCACGGCCCAGGGACTGGGAATGGGCACTCCCGCGGTGGGCAGGCCTTGGGTTTACAGGTGACGCTCCCCTCCCAGCAGGAACAGACACTGCAGGGATCTTTGGGGTCTGCAAACTGCTCTCCGTTGGGCAGCTCCTTCCCAAGGTAAAGGCAGCCTGGCAGGGAGAGGAGAGAAGGAAGAATCAGGGAGGAGGAAGAGGAGGAGGAGGAGGACTGTGAGAGCCAGTTTGGTGTTGTGGTTAAGTGCGCGGACTCTAATCTGGGAGAAGCGGGTTTGGTTCCCCACGTCTCTGCTTGCGGTTGCTGGATGACCTTGGGCAAGCCGTAGCTCTGGCACAGCTGTCCTTGAAAAAAAGAGCAGTTTCTGACAGAGCTCTCTCAGCCCCGCCTACCTCACAGGGTGTCTGTTGTGGGGAGGGGAAGGGAAAGGAGTTTATAAGCCACTCTGAGACACCTTTGGGTAGTGAAGGGCAGGGGATAAATCCAATCTCTTCTTCTTCCTCCTCCACTTGCACCTGCTGAATGACCTTGGGCAAGTCGTAGTTCTGACAAGAGCTGTCCTTGAAAAACAGCAGTTCCTGAAAGAGCTCTCTCAGCCCTGCCTACCTCACAGGGTGTCTGTGGTGGGGAGGGGAAGGGAAAGGAGTTTGTAAGCCGCTCTGAGACTCCTTGTGCCAGTTTGGTTAGAGAGCCAGTTTGGTGTCGTGGTTAGGAGCGCGGACTCTAATGTGGGAAAACCGGGTTTGATTCCCCACTCCTCCACTTGCAGCTGCTGGATGACCTTGGGCAAGCCGTAGCTCTGGCACAGCTGTCCTTGAAAAAGAGCAGTCCTCGAGAGAGGGCCACATGGCTTAGGAGCTCCAAGAGGGAACAGGGAGCATTCTCACCCTCTTGCATCCACCCCCATGTGGGTTGCCAAATCCAGGTTAGGAAGATCCTGGTGGTTTGGGGGTGGAATCTGGAAAGGGTGGGGTTTGGGGAATGGAGGGACCTCAGTGTAGTCTCCAAAGTTCCCATTTTCTGATCTCTGTCATGTGAAGATCAGTTTGCTCACAAGACTCCACAGCTTAGAGGGAACATTGCTTCCAGAGCAAACTGATTTATGCAGCGGCCAAATCGCTCGCTCACCACTTTAATGCCAGCAGCTCACAAAGTAGAATTTTTGCTCACAGGACTCCATAGCTTAATGCATCGGGCAGTACTTCTAGTCTGTTTACCGTCGCAGGAACGGCAGCAGTCCTGCTTCAGCGGGTGGGAGCACAGGGCTGGCGCGCAGGGCTGGCGTTGGCAAGTGATGGTCCCGTTGCTGCAGACGCAGTCCCGGCATTTGTCCGATGGGTCGTAGAACCGCTCCACGTGCTGATAAGAGACGCCCAGGTACAGGCAGCTGGCCGGAGGGGCTGCAGGAAAGGGAGCACACGGCAGCTGAGCGGAAGCAGCCTGCAGAGACCACCCAGGTCTCCTCCCCCACTCGTAGGAGCTCAGGCGAGAGCTAAATGTGATGCTGGCTGGAACAACACTATTTTCATAGAATCATAGAATGTCAGAGTTGGAAGGGACCTTAAAGGTCATCTAGTCCAACCCCCTGCACTCTGCAGGAGCGTAGCCGAAAGAGAGCCCTACAACATACCCGAACTGCACACAGCCAATTAGATCTCCAGGGGCCCATCAGGAGCCATGCTGGGCAGGAGCCCCACCAGGCCCCACCCACGAGGGCCAACAAAGGGGTTGGTGGCAAGCAGCATGGTGCCCTGCACTATGCATTTGGGGCTGGGGCCAGCCTTCTTCCCCTGTGAGTGCCAAGTCCCCCGGGGAAGGGCTATTGCTTCATCCAGAATCGTGTTTCAATCGAGCCTCAGGTTGCACATCTTGGGAAAGGCCCCGGAAAGCCACCGAGAGTCGGTTTAGAGGATGCTGTAAATGGACCCAGGGCCTGATCCGGTTTAAGGGAGCTTCAGATATTCACGTGGGGTGTGAACTCACATGAACACGTGAAGCTGCCTTCTGCTGAATCAGATCCTGGGTCTGCGGGTCTTGTCTACTCAGACCTGCAGCGGCCCTCCAGAGTCTCAGGCCAGAGGTCTTTCACATAAGGACATAAGAGAAGCTGCGCTGAATCAGGCCCATGGCCCCTCCAGTCCAGCACTCTGTGTCACACAGTGGCCAAAGCACAGGTGCCCTCAGGAGGTCCAGCAGCGTGGCCAGGACACCAGAAGGCCTCCCACTGTTGCACTCCCAAGCAGAAAGAGTACAGAGCGTCACTGCTCCAGGTATAGGCTCATAAGAGAAGCCATGTTGGATCAGGCCAAATGGCCCATCCCGTCCAGCACTCTGTGTCACACAGTGGCCAAAACCCAGGGGCCCTCAGGAGGTCCAGCAGTGGGGCCAGAACTCCAGAAGCCCTCCCAACTGTTGCTCCCCCCAAGCACCAGGAAGACAGAGCATCACTACCGCAGACAAAGTGTTCCTTCTAGACCTTGTAGCTAATAGCCACTAAGAATATAAGAGAAGCCATGATGGATCAGGCCAGTGGCCCCTCCAGTCCAACAGTCTGTGTCACATAAGAACAGAAGAGAAGCCATGTTGGATCAGGCTAATGGCCCATCCAGTCCAGCACTCTGTGTTACACAGTGGCCAAACCCCAAGTGCCATCCAGAGGTCCACCAGTGGGGCCAGAACTCCAGAAGCCCCCCCCCCAACTGCCTCCCAAGCACCAAGAAGACAGAGCATCCCTTGCCCCAGACAGAAGAACATAAGAGAAGCCATGTTGGATCCGGCCAGTGGCCCATCCAGTCCAACACTCTCTGTCACACAGTGATGAACACCCAAGTGCCATCAGGAGGTCCACCAGCGGGGCCAGAACTCCAGAAGCCCTCCCAACTGTTGCACCGGGAAGACAGAGCATCCCTTGCCCCAGACAGAGTGTTCCATCTACACCCTCTAATAGTCACTGATGGACCTCTGCTCCACACGTTTATCCAATCTCCTCTTGAAGGTATCGCCTGATCCATTACATCCCCCCACCATCTGATCCTTTTAACTGGGGTGGCTGGGAATCGCACCTGGGACCTTCTGCATGGCAAGCAGAGGCTCTGCCACTGAGCCCCGCAGACAAAGTGTTCCTTCTAGACCTTGTAGCTAATAGCCACTAAGAATATAAGAGAAGCCATGTTGGATCCGGCCAGTGGCCCATCCAGTCCAACACTCTCTGTCACACAGTGATGAACACCCAAGTGCCATCAGGAGGTCCACCAGCGGGGCCAGAACTCCAGAAGCCCTCCCAACTGTTGCTCCCCCCAAGCACCAGGAAGACAGAGCATCACTACCGCAGACAAAGTGTTCCTTCTAGACCTTGTAGCTAATAGCCACTAAGAATATAAGAGAAGCCATGTTGGATCCGGCCAGTGGCCCATCCAGTCCAACACTCTCTGTCACACAGTGATGAACACCCAAGTGCCATCAGGAGGTCCACCAGCGGGGCCAGAACTCCAGAAGCCCTCCCAACTGTTGCACCGGGAAGACAGAGCATCCCTTGCCCCAGACAGAGTGTTCCATCTACACCCTCTAATAGTCACTGATGGACCTTTGCTCCACATGTTTATCCAATCTCCTCTTGAAGGTATCGCCTGATCCATTACATCCCCCCACCATCTGATCCTTTTAACTGGGGTGGCTGGGAATCGCACCTGGGACCTTCTGCATGGCAAGCAGAGGCTCTGCCACTGAGCCACGGCCCTCTCCACCAAAAACAGAGGGGCGTTGTTCACTTGCTGAACCTATCTCTAGATTTCTTGCACACTGACAGCCTCCCCGGCAGCCCTCCCCCATATGATCCCATTCAGGAGTCCCATCCCCTACAACAGTGGTGGTGAACCTATGGCACGGGTGCCAGAGGCGGCACTCAGAGCCCTCTCTGTGGGCACGCGTGCCATCTCCCCAGCCAGGCCCAGACCATCATTAAAGTGTCGAATTCTCTGCCAAATGATTTTAAGTAAATGAAAGCACTTGGGATTGCGTTCCTTACTTTGTTTGGATCATCTTAAGTCAATGTATGAGTTGTTTTTTCTAAAGTAAAACCTCAGTATTCAGGTTAAATGGCCGTGTTGGCACTTTGCGATAAATAAGTGGGTTTTGGGTCGCAGTTTGGGCACTCGGTCTCTAAAAGGTTCGCCATCACTGCCCTACAAGGTGAAAGAGCAGAAACCCACCCACCCACACACACACATCCACTTTGGGGAGGGCAGTTTGATACCTGGGCACCGAGGGCAGCATTCCCCGGGCATCATGAAGGGCTCTGGGCAGACCAGGGGGCCACAGCGGGTGGAGAGGCACTGCACATTCCCGTTCTGCAAGGGAGAGACGTTATGTGAGAGGAATGCTCTGAGGCCCCCCCTCCCCAGAAGAAAGTGGGGTAGGGGTGCCAACACTGTTTGGGAAATTCCAGGAGATTTGGGGTGTGGAGTCTGGGGGAGGGCTGGGTCTGGGGAGGGGAGGGACCTTGGCAGGCTACGATGCCACAGAGTCCACCCCAGTGTTCCCTCTAAGCTGAGTTAGTGTGAGCCGGCGGATAGTTTTTCTAGCCTCCGGCTCACACGTTTTTGCCTTCGCTCAGGGAGGACGGGGCTCCAGAGCAAACTGATTTACGCAGCAGCCAAATCGTCGCCCACTCACAACTTGAATGCCAGTGGTTCCAATAGTAGAATTTTTGCTCACCGGACTCCACAGCTTAGAGGGAGCATTGGTCCCCCCTCCCCCCCCAGGAGACATCTTCTCTGAGGGAATCCATCTCTGTCTTAGGCCCCAGCTGGAGGTTGGCGACCCTGAAGCGGGCTTTTCATCTGATAAAACCACATCGCCAGGGGTCATTTCATAGAAAAAGAGGTGCAGGAGCCCATTAGCATAACTCATTAGCATAGCTTATTTGCATATGCCACACCCCCTGACACCACCGGAAGTGTGTCAGAAGGCAATGTCCACCGCTCAGGCTCCACTGGACTGTTTTGGATTGCTGGCTATTGGGGAGGGGGGGAACGTGCAGATCTGTCCTTGCAGAGGAGGGAGAGCTTGTACCTGAATAAAACTTGGTCTTAAAGGTGCCACTGGACTGTTTTGGGCTGGGGGGCTGGGGGGGGGCCTCT